AAAAAAAAAAACCCTTGCCCCTTTTAGCCTTGCCCTCTATTCATTTGCTGTTTGTCTTTTTTAAAAAAAAAAAAAAAAAAAAAAAAACAGCAGAGAAATTAATCAAAAATAGACTTTTGTATGTTTAACCAGAATTGATGAAGGCAAAGTTGAAGAACTGTTAACGGTGTGTAAGAAGGCAGGAAGAACACACATTTATGAGATCACAAATTCGCGAACTACATAATCTGGTCCATTTAATGAAAACACTTAAGACATAAACTCCGTTCAAGTGTGAGGTATTTCAACACTTTTTATTTTGAAATTATTATTTACTTTAGGAGAAATTATATTGGAAGGTAAGTGACATAGGTCCCGTTTTCAGAGCTACAGCAGCACAACAGTCAGTACTGGCGCTGTCCAGACCTGTGGTTCTGAAACCGAATGACTTCAGACAAATTAGCCGAAAAACACTTAAGAAATTCAGAATTTACTCTAAATAAACGAGTCAAACAGGGTTTAGAATGTCTTTGTATTAACTACTTCAATTTTTAAATTAAGTGCTGTGCACCGTACTATCAATCTCTAAAAAAAAAAAACCGCTCATATGTATCTTTTCCAAAATTAATCAATGCAACGTGATATGCCGTCATTCCTGATACTGATAGCGCTGTGGCAATACGTTTACGAAATCATGGGACTAAAAGCTAGCCAAAGACTCATTCTGGTCTATTTAAATAGTTTTCTGTATAGATGTAGCCATAGTATTTTATAGATATCTTAAAATGAAAGGCAGGAAATAAAGAGAGCTGATAGCAATAAAATACAGAAATTTGTAATGAAGAGTGAGGTTCTCGTAAAGGGCAACCCAGCATCATAAAACAAAAATGGCCTTAAAAAGAAGTGGCTGATATTATTATTATTATGTTATCAACGGAGACACTATGAAATACAACATTAAAGAGTCAACAGGAGTTAAACTTCTCTTACCTCATGTTCATTTCCTGTGAAGTCAATTGATGTCATGCTCGAGCCAAATTGAAAATTGTGCTCCTTTTTCAGAGTCCCACCAGCAGGAAGCGTGTTTTCATTATACGAGCTCACAAACTTAAACTCACTGGTGCGCGAGCCTGTGGTTAGATACGCGTCATAATTATAAGAGCTGCGGAGAGTTTCTGCTCTATCCACCTCTGCATAGTTGGGAGGGAGATAGGCGCTGGGAACAGCAACTGCTCCATCAAACAACAGTCTGGGCTTTCTCCTGTGACAAAACTTCACTGCCACGATCAGTATGATGAACGTCAGGAAGAAGGTGGACACAGAAACTAATGCAATGATCAAATATGACGTCAGTTTAGAGTTATTGTCCTCATAAGTCATATCTTTCAGTTCAGGAACTTCAGAAAGGTTGTCAGAAATGCGCGAGCCTGTGGTTAGATACGCGTCATAATTATAAGAGCTGCGGAGAGTTTCTGCTCTATCCACCTCTGCATAGTTGGGAGGGAGATAGGCGCTGGGAACAGCAACTGCTCCATCAAACAACAGTCTGGGCTTTCTCCTGTGACAAAACTTCACTGCCACGATCAGTATGATGAACGTCAGGAAGAAGGTGGACACGCAAACTAATGCAATGATCAAATACGACGTCAGTTTCAAACAACAGTCTGGGCTTTCTCCTGTGACAAAACTTCACTGCCACGATCAGTATGATGAACGTCAGGAAGAAGGTGGACACAGAAACTAATGCAATGATCAAATATGACGTCAGTTTAGAGTTATTGTCCTCATAAGTCATATCTTTCAGTTCAGGAACTTCAGAAAGGTTGTCAGAAATGACCAAATTTACAGCACAGGTTGTAGACAGAGAGGGCTGACCATTGTCCTTCACTGAAATTAGGAGGTTCTGCTTCATTTTGTCAGATTCAGAAATGTCTCGTTGTGTTTTGATCTCTCCACTATGGAGACCAATGGAGAAAAGTCCAGGATCAGTAGATTTGACAATATGATAGGACAGCCATGCATTCTGTCCAGAGTCAGCATCTACAGCGATCACCTTGGACACCAGAGAGCCTGACAGAGTTGCTTTAGGGACCATTTCTGTCATTAAAGATTTTCCATCAGGAACAGGGTATAATATCTGTGGAGAGTTATCATTCTCATCTGTTATGAAGACTTTCACAGTCACGTTACTGCTGAGCGGTGGAGATCCATTGTCTCTGGCAACAACTTTGACAGTGAAGTTTCTGAACTGCTCATAGTCAAATGATCTTACAGCATGAATCACCCCTGTATCTCCATTAATAGATAGAAATGAGGACACTGCGACCCCATTGACTTCACTGGTTACCAGAGAGTACAGTACTGTCCCGTTCTGTCTCCAGTCTGGGTCATTTGCACTGACAGAACAAACAGAAGTGCCTGGTTTGTTATTTTCACTTATATAAGCGCTCATAGTCAAACGATCTTATAGCATGAATCACCCCTGTATCTCCATTAATAGATAGAAATGAGGACACGTGGACCCCACTGACTTCACTGGGAACCAGAGAGTACAGTACAGTCCCGTTCTGTCTCCAGTCTGGGTCATTTGCACTGACAGAACAAACAGAAGTGCCTGGCTTGTTATTTTCACTTATATAAGCACTGTATGACTGCTGCAAAAATACAGGAGGATTGTCATTCACATCTGAGACAAATAAATGAATTGTCATGGAGGTGGATAATGGTGGAGATCCCCCATCTGTGGCTGTGATGGTAATGTTATAATCAGATTCTTTCTCTCGGTCTAGAGCTTTTGTAGTCACTAGAGAGAAATAGTTTTTAACAGATGGGTTCAGTTTGAAAGGAACATTCTGCTGAACAGAGCAACGAATCTGCCGGTTTTCTCCTGAGTCTTTGTCTTGAACATTAATGATTCCCACCTCAGTGCCTGGCTCAGAGTTTTCAGGTAATGGTTTATTCAAAGATTTAAGAATGATTCTAGGTGGATTATCATTAACATCAGTTACATCTATTATAATTTTAGCAGTTGATGCCAATCCCGATGCATCTTTAGCTTGAATTCCCATTTCATACTTTTTGTCTTTTTCATAATCAATTTCTCCAGCCACCACAATTTGTCCTGTTGTTTTATCAATAGAAAATAATTTTGCAGTTTTCTCTGACATTCTGCTGAATTCATACGTCGCTTCCCCGTTTGGACCTTCATCAGCATCAGTGGCGCTCACTCTGATTATTTCTGTTCTTGAAGGTGTATTTTCAGCCAGAGTGACTTTATAAACAGACTCGCTAAACACTGGGACATTATCATTAGCGTCGAGAACAGTGATGTGTATGACAGCAGTGCCAGACCTCTGCGGTGAACCACCATCAGTGGCTGTGAGTATCATATCTATCTCCTTCTGCTGCTCACGATCCAACTCCTTTTCCAACACGAGTTCAGCGTATTTTCCTCCATCTGCAGTATCATGGACATTCAAAACAAAATGTTTATTTTTCTCCAGTGAATAGCTGTTAATAGAATTTTGTCCAATATCCGTGTCATGCGCCTCATCCAAGCGAAATTTCTGGCCTTTAACTGCTGATTCTGTCATTTCAAAATTAATACGTTCATTTGGAAATCGTGGTGCGTTGTCATTTATATCCTGAATTTGCAGAATTATTCGGTGCACTTCAAGAGGGTTTTCCAGGACGAGCTCATAATTGAGAATGCAGGACATTCGAGATCCACAAAGCTCCTCTCGGTCTATTGTCTCTGCCACGATTAAATCACCAGTATTCAGATTAACATCACAGTACCGTTTGCTGCTGTCCTCCGTGTCTATCCGAGATTTACGAGCAGATAATTGTTTCACTTCCATTCTGAGATCCTTGGCTATATTTCCAGTTACATACTGGCGCTTCATTTCTTCCGGAATATTGTAGCTCAGATCATCGCAGACGGTTCTCAGAGCAAAGAGAATGAGAGCAACGAAATACGTAAAAAAAGGAACTGAAAATAGCCCGTGTTCCATTTTTGAAGATTTGATGTTGCACCTTCTCAACAGTAAACGAATCTTAGAAATATGTTATAATAAGTCTATCTGTGTCGACGGACTGTTACTCCATTTTGTGCGGCGTTTATCCTAACAGACAGATCTCTTGTTGCATACATTACAAATGGGAGGAGAGACGCATCACTTTGCAGACTTAGTGAATAGCGACACTGTGAGTATTTTTCTGTTAACTGCAACACTCAAATGTTTAATGAAAGGACTACAGTGATAAACTAAGTGACGTGTCATATTTGACAAGGTGTATTATTGTAAAAAGTAGTTTGCATGAATTTGTAGCTATATTTATATTGGGAAGGAACTGAAAATTGTCACGCAATCAAAGATAAACTATAGACAGTTCTGGCGCTGTCCAGGCATCTGGTGCTGAAACTGGATGACCTGACAGACATTGGACGAAAATTAAAAATGAACTTAACTTCATATTCATATTAAATGGAGGGGTAAACCCGTTTTACAAGAAAATGGATGACTGCTCTCTATTTACTGCTTCAACCACACTTAGTTCTTGAGTAAGTTTTAACGAAGATGTAGATTGCATTTTTGAAATCAGTGATAAATGTTCTAACGCTTTTAGGCAATCTTCGTTAAAACTTACTAAAAAGCTAAGTTTAAAAAAAAAGACTAAAACAACAACTAAAAATCGCAAGTAACTGTTAAATCTAGCAGAGATCAAATACACATCACAAGCCATAACCATATTGTCCAGTCTAAACACTTTTAAATACCAAAAATTCACGCTAACAAAACTGAATTTGGAAGAAAAACAAGCCAGAGAAATTCTTCAAAAATAAACCTTTATATTGATGAATGCAGTGTTCAAGTACTGGTAAAGGTGTACAAGAGGCATGTAAATTTATGAGACCCAAACAAATTGTGGCATAAATAATCAGGACTATTTAAATTGGGTTCATTATAGTGGCAAATGGCTTTTACAGATACGCTGATATGAAATGCCCTAAGAGAGAGAGGATAGCAGTTTTATACAAACGTGTGAGGTTTTCATACATTACCATACAAAAAAGTTATTTGAACAGGAACCGCCTTAATAAAGTGGATAATAGAATTAATTCAAATATTATTTTAAAAAAAAGTATAAGCCGAGACACCATGAAATGCAAAAAGACAGTACAAAAAAGTAAAGCTTCTCTTACCTCATCTTCATTTTCTGTAACGTCAATTGTTATCATGCTCGAGCCAAAATGAAAATTGTGCTCCTTTTTCAGAGTCCCACCAGCAGGAAGCGTGTTTTCATTATACGAGCTCACAAACTTAAAGTCACTGGTGCGCGAGCCTGTGGTTAGATACGCGTCATACTTGTAAGAGCTGCGGAGAGTTCCTGCTCCATCCACCTCTGCATAGTTGGGAGGGAGATAGGCGCTGGGAACAGCAACTGCTCCATCAAACAACAGTCTGGGCTTTCTCCTGTGACAAAACTTCACTGCCACGATCAGTATGATGAACGTCAGGAAGAAGGTGGACACAGAAACTAATGCAATGATCAAATATGACGTCAGTTTAGAGTTGTTGTCCTCATAAGTAATATCTTTAAGTTCAGGGACTTCAGAAAGGTTGTCAGAAATTAGTAAATTTACAGCACAGGTTGTAGACAGAGAGGGCTGCCCGTTGTCCTTCACTGAAATAACGAGGCTCTGCTTCATATTGTCAGATTCAGAAATGTCTCGTTGTGTTTTGATCTCTCCACTATGGAGACCAATAGTGAACAGTCTCGGATCAGTAGATTTGACAATCTGATAGGACAGCCATGCATTCTGTCCAGAGTCAGCATCTACAGCGATCACCTTGGACACCAGAGAGCCTGAGAGAGTCGCTTTAGGGACCATTTCTGTCATTAAAGACTTTCCATCAGGAACAGGGTATAATATCTGTGGAGAGTTATCATTCTCATCTGTTATGAAGACTTTCACAGTCACGTTACTGCTGAGCGGTGGAGATCCATTGTCTCTGGCAACAACGTTGACAGTGAAGTTTCTGAACTGCTCATAGTCAAATGATCTTACAGCATGAATCACCCCTGTATCTCCATTAATAGATAGAAATGAGGACACTGGGACCCCACTGACTTCACTGGGAACCAGAGAGTACAGTACAGTCCCGTTCTGTCTCCAGTCTGGGTCATTTGCACTGACAGAACAAACAGAAGTGCCTGGTTTGTTATTTTCACTTATATAAGCACTGTAGGACTGCTGCTCAAATGCAGGAGGATTGTCATTCACGTCTCCGACAAATAATCTAATAGTTCTAGGTGACGTTAAAGGCGGGGAACCCTCGTCAGTAGCTGTAATCGTGATATTATATTCAGATTCTCTCTCTCGGTCCAACGCTTCCGCTGTTACTAATGCAAAGTGGTTCTTAATTGATGGTGTTAGTTTAAAGCGATCGTTATGCTGAATAAAACATTTAATATTTCCATTAGATTCTGTATCTTTGTCCTGCACGTATATAACGGCAACTTCTGTACCCACAGTCGCATCCTCCATAAGCGGCGTTTTAAGAGATTTAATCATGATAAAGGGAGCATTATCATTGACATCACTGATGTCTACCACTACTTTAGAAGTGGCTGCTAGACCAGCTCCGTCTTTTGCTTTAACTCGAATCTCAAAAGAAGGACTGTCTTCAAAGTCTAATGACCCTTTAATTGTTATATCACCCGATGCTGGGTCTATTGAAAAAATAGGTTTTGCATTCACTGGCATATGACTAAATTCATAAGTAACATCTCCGTTTGCTCCTTCATCAGCATCACTGGCACTCACAGTAACCACAACTGAGCCTACCAGAAGGTTTTCAGGGACACTCACCTTATAGACTGGCTGAGAAAAAACTGGTTTATTATCATTAATGTCCAAAACGCGGATTTGTATAACTACAGTGCCTGATTTCTGAGGATTGCCCCCGTCATAAGCTGTCAAAATAAGAGAATGCTTGTCTTGTTTTTCACGGTCCAGTTCATGCTCCAACACTATTTCTGCATATTTCCCAGTTTCAGCACTAGTCTGTACAGCTAAACTGAAATGCGGGTTATTTGAGAGTCTGTAACCCTGTACTGAATGTATTCCGCTGTCCGGGTCCGCAGCCTCGTCTATGGAAAACCGAGACCCTTTATCTGCGGACTCTGGGATATCTAATTTTACCTCACTGTGGGGGAAGGCCGGGTTGTTGTCGTTTATGTCTTGAATCTCCAGAGTTATACGGTGTAGTTCAAGCGGGTTTTCCATGAAGAGATCAAAAGATAATGTGCACAAAGGTTTTTGTCCGCAGAGCTCTTCTCGGTCAATCCTTACATTTATAACCAATTCCCCATTCTGCGCGTTGATTTCACAGTAGCGTTTTTTTCCATCAAACTCGATCCTTGGCTCCCGTGATGAAAATGTATTCCTATCGACTCCTAAATCCTGCGCAAGTTTGCCGACCACTGACCCTCGCTTCATTTCTTCTGGAAAGGAATAATGAATATCTCCCAAGCATAATGAAACGGCGAACGAATAAAGGACAATGGCTTTCCACACCGATCGCCGCGACGCATATGCTGCAGTGCATTCCATTCTAAGTAAACGTGAAGGAGATTCTTAAAGACAAATTCATAGGCCTATTACTAAGATATATATTGTCCTCAGACACAAACAGCAGTGGTATGAACATGAGAAGTGTGATCTGAAAATAGAATGCAAAGCAAATGGGTGGACCGATGAACAAATACCCAGCACAGATCAACAGCGACACACTGCGTAGTGTGAAAAAATCTACACGCAAAATGTTACACTCGTCAGTGAACTTATTTCATTTTTAAAGGTAAATTTCTAAAGGCACCGTAGTCTACAACTCTTTCAGGATGTTGAAAATGATCATGTAAAATTTGAATAACACAAGGCTCAGGAGCAGACTTTGATTTATTTTGTTACAAGAAGATACAACTAGTAACGGTTTTCCTCACACCAACAGTAGTGGAAATCAAATGGAATGCATTCTAGAATTTGGAAGAAGAAATAATTTCTATTAAAATATCAAAGGAAGACAAGACATAATCAGTTCAAACGCACTTTAAGGACTTAAGGGCATCATCGTCATCGTTTTTTTAAAGCTGTGTTTCCCAGTCACAATACAGACAGGCAATATTTAAGGATTAAAACAGATATTTACCTCTGTACACTCTCCTTCGTCAGACAGGCGCAACATATTAGAATCGATGTCACTCCTTATCAGAGTCCCACAAGCAGGAAGTGTGTTTTCATTATATGAGCTCACAAACTTAAAGTCACTGGTGCGCGAGCCTGAGGTTAAATACGCGTCATAATTATAAGAGCTGCGGAGAGTTCCTGCTCCATCCACCTCTGCATAGTTGGGAGGGAGATAGGCGCTGGGAACAGCAACTGCTCCATCAAACAACAGTCTGGGCTTTCTCCTGTGACAAAACTTCACTGCCACGATCAGTATGATGAACGTCAGGAAGAAGGTGGACAAAGAAACTAATGCAATGATCAAGTAGGACGTTAATTTAGAGTTGTTGTCCTTATAAGTCATATCTTTAAGTTCAGGAACTTCAGAAAGGTTGTCAGAAATTAGTAAATTTACAGCACAGGTTGTAGACAGAGAGGGCTGCCCGTTGTCCTTCACTGAAATAACGAGGCTCTGCTTCATATTGTCAGATTCAGAAATGTCTCGTTGTGTTTTGATCTCTCCACTATGGAGACCAATGGAGAAAAGTCCAGGATCAGTAGATTTGACAATATGATAGGACAGCCATGCATTCTGTCCAGAGTCAGCATCTACAGCGATCACCTTGGACACCAGAGAGCCTGACAGAGTCGCTTTAGGGACCATTTCAGTCATTAAAGACTTTCCACCAGGAACAGGGTATAATATCTGTGGAGAGTTATCATTCTCATCTGTTATGAAGACTTTCACAGTCACGTTACTGCTGAGCGGTGGAGATCCATTGTCTCTGGCAACAGCTTTGACAGTGAAGTTTCTGAACTGCTCATAGTCAAATGATCTTACAGCATGAATCACCCCTGTATCTCCATTAATAGATAGAAATGAGGACACTTGGACCCCACTGACTTCACTGGGAACCAGAGAGTACAGTACAGTCCCGTTCTGTCTCCAGTCTGGGTCATTTGCACTGACAGAACAGACAGAAGTGCCTGGTTTGTTATTTTCACTTATATAAACAACATATGTCTGTAACTCAAATGTAGGGGAGTTGTCGTTGATGTCTGAAACTTGTATGTTCAGAGTTAGATTCGAGAATAAGGGGGGTGTACCTCCATCCGTTGCTGTTATTGTTACATTATACTTTTCGATTTGCTCCCGATCAAGCGAACGAGTTGTAGTGATAATTAAATAAGACTTGATGTACGGCTGTAGTTGAAATGGCAGACTTGAAGAAATGGAACAACTAACCCGGCTGTTTTCACCGGAATCTTGGTCCTTCACGTTTATTACAGCGATCTCTGAACCGGGTGGGATGTTTTCTGGGATTTGGTTTTTCAGAGACTTTACTGATATAACAGGCGCGTTATCATTTATGTCATCTATTTCAATAACAACTTTACAGTGGCCTGTCTGACCTCCACCGTCCTCCGCCTGCACTTCCATCTCGTACGACGAGGACTTCTCGTGGTCCATCTGTCCAATTACAGATATTTCTCCATAATTTTCGTCAATTTTAAACAATTCTTTTGTGTTGTCAGATAGGTGATTGATATAATATGTTATTTGTCCATTTGCGCCCTCATCCACATCGGTCGCAACAATTTTGATGACAGACGTTCCGAGTGCTGCATTTTCGAATAAACGAGTGTTGTACAAAGACTGCGAAAATACTGGTGCATTATCATTCACGTCTATCACGAACACTTCAATAACAACAGTTCCAGATTTAGGAGGATTTCCCCCATCCACCGCAGACAATATTAAGGAATGTTCTCCTTTTGTCTCTCTATCCAGGCTGTTTTTCAAAACAATGTCCACATACCTGTCTTTATTTGATTTTGTATCAAGAACAAAATATTTGTTTTGACTAAGCATGTAGGTCTGGACTGAATTCATTCCAACATCCAAATCGCGTGCACAAGCTATTTGTAATTTACTTCTGGTAGGTGCTGCTTCGCTTATTTCTAGCTTAATTGAATCTTTGGGGAAAACAGGAGGGTTGTCATTGATATCCTGGACCTCCAAAACAACGTTATGAAGCTCTAAAGGATTTTCAAGAATAAATTCAAAGTGCATGAGGCAGTGGGAGGTCGTTCCGCACAGCATCTCTCGGTCGATCCTTTCTGAAACAAAAATATTTCCAGAATCTAGGTCTACTTCACAATATCTTTTATCCCCTCGGTAATCCAAACGGGCTTTGCGAAACCTCAAGCGATCGGAATCCAAATTAAGGTCCTTACTTAGACTTCCAATAAAATATTTTGTCTTTGTTTCCTCCGGCACAGAATAACGAACATCAGCAGATGCCATGCAAAAGAGAAGCGTTGTTATCCATAATCGCCATTTGGCCAAACGCAGTTTAGACATTTTCGCCATATTTTCTTGGTGTAATAAAGTAAAGCGTTGTTTCGAAACGCTTTTCACAAACAACCGATTTATGACGTCGTCGTCCGCACTGCTCTTTCGGACAAATGTTAACAGAACAGAAAGATACCCGCACCAATGGGTGTGTTCTTCTTATGCCCTAAAACAGCAGAGTTAGTCAACAGCGACGCTGTGTGGTTGAATTGAGTTTAGGTTTAGTCTGTGAGGTTTATTTCATGGTGAGCAGATGCCCCATAATTACAGAGGGGTTTTTTTTGTAATGCAGTTTTAAATCCACAATTTTATTCTTAGCTGGTATGTCACAGATAACCCTGAAATAGTATGCTTTCCTAAAAAGAAGACCTGGTTAATACAAACCCCTAAATATACACGAAGTATTTCCGTATAATCTCTACTAATATGAGATTATAGTCTTTGTTTTAATTCAAACTGTTTGTGAGCATTTATATGGATAAAGAGTCATTTGTTTATAATAATTTTTTAGCGCGTGTATAGATGTAGTTCATGCCAGCTACGCACGCCACAAACTGGCGCATATTTTCAGCACCATGGACAGCGCCTCCGTATAGTCGTGGAACAAGGCAGCTGAAATAGAAAGCCCAACTTCAAATCCAGGCTAAAATGTCCGTTGAATGAAATTTGATTTGGAAAGGTATTCCATATTCAGTATACTGAAATTAAATTATAAATGAATTTTTTAAAGAAAATAGAGTATGCATAGTTAAGAAAGAGAGAGAGAGAGAGAGAGAGAGAGCGAGAGAGTACCAATTAAGCCTAAAATAGAAACAATAATAAAAGAATAACTGCATTACATTTGCTAACTGATAAAATGGAAAAGAAACTTGAACTTGAACTTGAACTGCACACATCTGGTATCCTGTGTTACAGTCAGCAGCCTACATCTAATGTACATTTTAATATAAATTTTCCAAGTTCAATGCCTCACCTTTGTGTGTGTGTGCAACATAAATATTACGTCAGAATGTTGCATAAAAATCAAATGCACCCCGAAAGATGGCAGTTTCAATGCACATATTATTATACTCCACTATTTTATCATAATTACACTCAAAAGTTCTGGGCTAAAAACACTGCAACAACAGTGAAAAGAGCTCATCAGACTGCTGAAGAAGGCCAGACTTAGATGTCAGCCCCTCATCTGTGTCTATAGAGGCCTCGTCGAGAGTATTCTTACCAGTGGTATTATAGTGTGGTAAGGCAATACTACCCTGGCTGAGAGGAAATCACTGCAACAGGTCATAAAATCTGCAGAGAGTGTTATTGGCTCTAACCTCCCTTCTATGGACTCTATATATACTCAACGCTGCAGACGGAAAGCACAGAGCATCCTCAAGGATAAACATCACCCAGCTCATGATCTGTTTAAATGGGTGGATATGGGGTACAACCTGAGACACAGCAGGCCTGTGAGTATTAGTACTCACAGGGCCCGTTTGTACAAGAGCTTCTTCCCAGCCACTTTTATGTTAGTGGCACAGGACATCAGGGAGGGAAAGAAGTATCCCATCCCATAACTCACTCTTACTTTGGAGGCCTAGTGCTTTCTATCTCGCCTGTCTATGGACCCATGGACAGATATGTGTGTCTCCTATTATTCCCTTAAATGTGAAACACAATGTGCAATATTATTTATTTGATTTTCCCCCCCTCCGTATAAAGCTTGACTCTGCGAAACAAACAAGAATTCCAATGTACCTGTACTACAATGTATCTGTGCAAAGGGCAATAAAATTCAAATTAAATTCTAATTCAAGTTTAGCGGTTCAAATTTGCATTTTGCATTATTTCAAATAATTTCTGACCCAAACACGCAAACTTCATTTAATCCTTGTATTTCATTCCTTGGAGAACAATAACATTGGTTTGTTTCAGAAGATTTATGATTTGTGCAGGTGAAACGTTCAGGTCCGCCTTCTTTGAATAGTCACTGAAAATCTTGCAATAGAATGCTCAGTCAAGTTACCACATGCACTGCCACTGTAAGCTGGGAACCAGTTTAATGACAAATATCCAGCTGGTAAAAAGTGTTAGGTTAGCACATTCGATGTTTAAGATAAAATGCATGTGGGGCAATGTTATTTTTAGAGCAGAAGATGAACAAATATTTAATATAGACTACTTCACTACTTTACTAACAATATAGACAGGCAAAATATAAACCACAGATAAATCTCCAATACTTATGAAAGAAAACTTTATTTGTGATTTATAAACAAAACACATTACCAGATTTCATAAAGTAATATAAAATAATAAACACCATTACACTGATGAGCAGGTGTACAAAAAAATGTCCAACAGATTTGCAGTCAAAGTCAAAAGCATAGTGCCACTTAGGCACTGGATGAATTGATATATAATTACTACACACAAGCAGAATACATAGACCTTTTTATTTCCTGTTTTATCATTTTTTATTTTTTTTTTTATTTTTTATTTTTTTGAAAGGAGAGGTTTATATCATAGGGAAATATGAACTGGCTCACACTACAGTGCTATTTATTTCAAAGCCTAGCACAAAACGAAGGATTGATCCTTTCAAGTTGCAAAAATCATAAGGTTGTAAAGAAAACCAATTTAGACCAAAAACACTACAGCATTACATATAGCTAGTGTGTTAATGTTAACGTTGATTGCCACAGAGCCGACATCGTTTCGGTGTCTTCTTTTTACACTCTATGCATGTATGTAATCAGTGTATGTTTGGGTATGAATAATTTGATTAATGTCTACATACTTCAGCAGAGACGATACTCATCTACAGTTTCATCATAAATGAGAAAAAAAATAATTATGAAAAACATCTGTTCATTTATATCTATATATAATTTCTGTTTTAATTGCGTTTAACATGCAAAACATCTGAAAGAGACTCAAGTGAAAGTGTGTGTGTATATGTATGTGTTTGTGTGTGCTTTGTGATGATACGGTCTCATAGCAGCACGAACATCTCTCCTTTACTAAACAGTATCTCTACAGACTTAGAAGGGAAAGAAAGGAGAGATGCGCTCCCTCTTAAAAACAGAAAATTTAAGCATGATGTCTGAATGTTAAGAAAACATTCTCATTATTTACAAAATTGTAATCAACAACTATGGAACTGTCATGAAGCTATATCTCATCATTGATTATATACAGTAGAAAAACTCTGTACTGCCCACCACTGTGGTCTTCTCAGTCTAATCTCCACTCAACTTCTATTTTTGCCCTAGAAAGCACCATATGCTGTAGTTAAACATGTCCATAATCATGGCTGCATAGTCCATGGTGGTTCAACTGCTGTGAGAGCATAAACACGGGTGTGTCTTGAGTGTATGTGTGCATGTAGTGGCCAGTACCTGTGCTCATGTTTCCAGCAGAAGAAGTGACAATAATATTAACTTGATTTTCTGCTCTTTCTTGTCACATTGTACAATACGAGCCACCAGGGGGCAGTACTGACATGGGGCCAGCAATGCACACCAGATAAAGGGAGGTTGGCAATATCAGATATGCAAAAGTTACAAGCAGTAGCTAAGGACAAGTAGCTGGACTAAGCCATAAAGCTGTCAGGAAGTGGGATGACATCTATCAAACATTAAAAACAGCAGCAACGGAAGTGGGTGTGTTTTGAAATGAAGCCACAAGTATTCATTCTGCTATGTTACAGACTTTTGAGAGGCTGTTGTGCTTCAGTCCTGTGGTGATTTTAGGTGTACAGCATGTGGACAGCCTGTTCATAATGTGTTATGCATTAGAGAGCAAGAACACGCATCAATTTGTGATTTGTATTCATACAAACCATGGGTGTGGACTGTATAAGATGAGATTTACTTGCTCTTAGAAAATATACTGAGTAAAGCATCATTCTGAGATTTCAGCATTACTTTGGGAGCAGCACAGAAGCGCTAGAGATCTCTGTGCCCTGTTCTAGGACGTATTTGTGAGTGTAAAGCAAGTGATTTCGCTGCTACATTCCCATCTCTGTAGGCATTTATTTTTGATCTGCTCTAGAAATCAGACACTGGTCTTTCTGATAAAGTTGTAGTGTCTTTTTGTTTCCAGCAGATCAAGGAGTGAGACGGGGCCAGGGGTGGTTGTTCCTTCCCCATTTGACATTGAGGGAGGAAGGCAGGGATGGAGTTAGAGAAAACTCTTGGTATGGCATGAGTTCATATCCAGTTTAACTGGATTAATTTGATCCTTTTAAAAGAGGAGAGGGACTTCCCTCATTGTGGTTGAAAATGTCATTTACAAGGTGCGAGTGGGCTTGGTTTGCATTTTGCAGACTGGAGTTCTTTCTTGAACATCGCTGTTTAATTTCTGCGCCAGAACTAGAAAAATAGCCAATCAGAGTAACATGTTCACAAGGTTAATTTTCAATTTCTCTTCTTTCTTCAACTGGAATTGGTAAATAAGGTATATAGAAGGAACTTCTCTCTTTACATTTTCAGTATTTTTGGTTTTCTCTTTCTGGCAGCATTTGCTACACACATAAGTTAATAGCTGTAATATTGTAGTGGGACGTTCTTTGCTACTCCTCGCCATCATCTTTTCCTTTATCTTTCTTGTCCTTCTTTTCCTTCTTCTTCTTTTTCTTCTTCTTAGACTCCTCTTTTTTTCCGAAGGTGATGAACTCGCCCTTATCATCAACGGCACCTGGGTCCTGCCGGATGGAGATGATGGCAGGAGAGCCGGGAATAATGAAGGCTTCAGGGGGGATCTCTCCCGGCTTCAGGGCTTGTGGAGGACCGTAGCCGGGGCCTGCACCGTAGCGGAAGCTCCAGCTGTTACTATTGATTCCAGCTCCAACAGGAGGGGACAGCTGTCCCTCTCCCTCCCCATCTGAGTGAGAAAAATTACAATGATTAGACTGTCATCATTACTTTCCTCATATAAACCAAGATATTGTGTTGCCTAATGGATCAAAAGTCAGGTTTAAGACCAAAAATACAAGCCCTAAATTTATAGTAGACGAATTAATTTTTTATATTTTTGGGGAGACAGAAACGTCAGAGTGATACAACTTGTCCTGATATTATAACAAACCAAATTAAATCTTATTAAAGAACGAGTCTTGAAATGAAAAGGTTTGGCAAGGTTAATTGCAGTTGCAAAATGTAATATGGTGTGACTCCCCAAAAACTAATAATAATATATTTATTATTAATAATTAATGACGTAAATAAATGAAAGAATGAATGAATGAATGTTATTGCTTTTAACTTCATGGTTACAGAACATAACAAGTCTCTGCATTTAAACTTTTCTTAAAAACACTTTATTTCTTGGCACATGTATAATATAATATAATATAATATAACATAATGTCTTTTTTCTAGAGATGTATGGCAAAAAGTATTTGCACCAAAACCCTGATTGGAGAAGCACGTTGGTTTTCTTTATTTAACACTGATCTAAACCTACAAGTAATACACACAGAGAGGGACACTGGATCACTCTGGAGTGCACTTTCATACAATGTTCATGTTTGAAAGTGTACTACCCCAACAGGGACAGAGAGCTGAGTCCGGTGTGAGAGACTTATGTACTACTTTCCCTACAGAAACAGGGCTCTTTGCCACACCAGTTACTCTATGACCTACTTTCATTTCTGTGTTTTATTTAGATCTCACCATGGCCCTGAAATGCAATTCTGTTTGTTTTTGATCTGTACGTTTATTATGACAGTACCGCACAGCTTATTTCAATAAATGCAAAACCTAGCAGGGATGATCCATTTTGATATTCTTTCCTCGGCTTAAATTAATCTGCATGGGTGGATTGTGCGTCTATGTGTGTGCGCAACAACTAGACTAAATTAGGAATCCTTCTCCTGCTCAGTTTCAGGAACATGTCTAAATTTAGACACGTCAAATCCTGCAATTAATATGCAAACTGCTCTTTTTTTCTGTGTCTACTGGTCTATTATGTATAATCTTGACCATCCCAAAAATATACCACCTCTCCATCCATACAGAACAGTCATGGTAAACAGATGGTACAGAAAAGAGTCAATGAGGAAGTGTTTACACGCACACGTTCACAGAAGCACTGTGTGCCGCCCCCTGGGCTTGACAGATCACATTTGGCTGAGAAGGTCAGAAATTGTGGTTTAGAGTGGTAGCATTTACTTGCAGAGTGGTCAGATCTCTAGTGAGAGAGTAACTCATGTGTTCATGTGTTAGTCACACCTCACTCCATCTCCCTGTGGCTTTCATTATGGCAGCAATATCAGTGCATGTGTGTGTCTGTGTGTTAAGTTTCATGTCAGAGCAGGTCAACTGAGCAGACTAGTTTTTGTCCTCATGAGACTAAAGAGAAGATCAGCAGAGTGGAGCTGGAAGCAACAGTCTAAAACTGACTTTCATTGCATTTCTCTCTTTGTTGTACAGGTCAGTGACAAAAATGTCCACATTTAGTAAAGTTTTTACTAATTCTTAAAAATGTACTCTTTGTATTAATTTTGTTTTCATATAGTTTTGAAAAAGTAGCCTACAATTTTCAAGAATTTTAAATTTTATGACTAAAAATAAACAAAAAAGTACAAAAATTTTTTTTTCTTCATATTTCCATTTGTTGGTTGCACCACATGACTTTAATTCTGCAAATGTTTTTCAACTGTTAATGAGCAGTGAAGCAGTTTTCTTACAAAATAAATAAATAAAAATAAATTCCCCCAAAGGGAATAAAATAAAAGATTATGACAAAATAGTTTTGGTTTTCTTTTTAAGAATTGTATTCATTTAATAAAGCTCTTTTTAGTATGATAGCAGGATATTTGTCACATTGACACTCTGGGTTTATTCCAAATCCATTTTATTCTAGAAATTAAAAACATGTTCATCACAGAAGGTGTTTGTATGTTTGAAGTGCATTTTTTAAATGCCTTTTTCAATAAATTACTATACTTTTGTATTCATTTTTTCATATGGTTAATTTTTTTTTACCATTTTCAAGAACTTTCAATTTAATGTCTCTAAAAATAAAAGAAAAAAATAATTATATTTTTGTCCCTGAATCTTTCTGCTTGTTGGTTGCACCACATGACTTCAATTCTGCTAACGTTTTTCAACTATTAATAAACAGTAAAGCAGTTTACTTATTATTTCATCTTTTCTTTTCTTTCCTTTTTTCTCAGGATAGTTGTATCACTCTGAAACTCAGAATGTATGCCAAATTAATTTTATTCCAGAAAATAAAATTATGCTTATCATAGAGGAGATATTTTCAAGTCA